CGCTACTGTTAGGTTGCAACTCGTCTCCTCTTCTAATACATCATGTTTATTTACGGAATCAACAATTCGTGAAAGATTTTTACGTATTAAGTGAAAATTAATGCACCGTCAAATTTGACGTTTTCTCTGCATCAGCCGATAAGTTGGGTGGATGTTGTTGTTTAAGATTCAACTGTTGGGAACAAAATGTTCCAAGTAGCACGGGCTATGGTGAGCCCGTAGTGGACTTACCTAACACAGGAGCGGGGCTGTAACTTGTTCGTTGGGTGGCTTTCTTGGATTCGTACGTTTCTGTCTAGATAAAACAGTTATGTTTTTTACGGAGTGGCAGATGGAGAGAACGTGCTGGAATACCTGCTAGCTAGACGATAAGAACCTCGTAAGAGCAAACATAACCTGCTTGCTCAGTAGAATAGTTCAGAACACATGTCTAAATCCTCCTGAAAATTGATAGTTCTTACAGTAACTATTAACTTGTAGTAACAAGGCTGTCTAAGCTTTTAAATGCGTGGATGGCGAATTATTAAAGGACTTGTTTACGACATGTATGATACCAAAATTGGAAGATGAAACGGTTGTATTGTGCCCATCTCTCAAGAAGAAGAATATCAATAAACTGAAAAAGGTGCAAAGGCATCTTCTTGAGGTTATCTTGAGATGATTTCGGGGCTTTTTAGTGTCCCCGCGGCCCGGTCCTCGACCAGGCCTCCACCCCCAGGAAGCAGCCCGTGACAGCTGACTAACTCCCAGGTACCTATTTACTGTTAGGCAACAGGGGCATTCAGGGTGAAAGAAACTTTGCCCATTTGTTTCTGCCTCGTGCGGGAATCGGCATGCTATAAAGTGGCTTCTGAAACTGAAAAACAAGAGTTACCAAGAGTGGCTAGAGGTGTTAAATATGCCAAAGTTAGAAGATAGAAGAAAAAGACCTGTGATCACTTACAAAATACTAACAAGAATCGACCAAATTGACAAAGAGAAATTCCCCAAACCAGCATCTTCAAGAACAAGAGGTCACAGATTCAAGCTTAGGAAACAAAGGTGCCGAAAAAAATATAACATAGTTTTCTTTTACAAACAGAGTGGTGGACGGTGGATAAAGTTAATTAAGTTGGGTGGTGGCCAAAACCGTCAGTACTTAGTTTCGCAGCATTATATGTCTACTGGGAAGACGGGACACCACGAGCCTAGCTCTCATCCTGTAACTACACTTGGGTAATTACACATATACATTAAAACAGAATTCGTTTAGAAACTAAACCAGGGGCTCTTTCAAGGCAATTTACTCAGCCTTTGGTTGACTAATATTGGAATATGCACCACCGGCGGAGAAATCTGCACCTTGTAAAGCATAAAATCAAACCACACACTAGAAAGTGAAGGGACGACGACTTGAGTCACAATCGACTTGAGAATGGTCCAGGACGGACCGAAACGTCGTCGTCCCTTCACCTTCTAGTGTGTGGTCTGGTCAACATACTTTAGCCACGTTATTGTGACTCATCGCCTGCAAGGAACGACGACGTTTCGGTCCGTCTTGGACCATTCTCAAGTCGATTCTCACAATCGACTTAAGAATGGTCCAGGACGGACCGAAACGTCGTCGTCCCTTCACTTACTAGTGTGTAGTTTGGTCAACATACTTCAGCCACGTTATTGTGACTCCTCGTCTGCATAAAATCAAAATTGAAAAAGTACAAATACTTGCAACAAGAGGATACGGTAAGTGAAGTAAACGTTGCAACCGTGGAAGAGAGGAGAAACATAGGAGATGATCGTAACATACAAGATACCGAGGGGACTAGACTAGATGGACAAAGATAGCCTCCTTAAAGTGAGAGACAGTACGCGAGAGGACGAGAGTGGAAGCGGGAAATGCAAGGATATACTTACATCCTGATTGGGTGGTCAACAAGAAGGGAATGTACTTTAATAAGTTGTTGAAGTTTCCTGTACCCACAATTTTAAGGCCAGATTCGGTACAAAATTTAAACTTGAGATTCGCTAAATTATAACGTAAAAGGTATACAGCAAGACTTGTAGGCGGGAAATAAAGAGCTAGACCTCAGTTTCCCGTAGCCACGAATAGGTAAGGTCTGACAGATCACTGATTGATGAAGAGTAAGCCACCCAAGAGGTGGCACGGGCATGAATAGCCCGTTGAGACAGATTATTGCATACATGACCTATATGTCGGTATGAGGTACCTGGATGTCTACAAGATTACGGGCTCACCATAGCCCGTGCTACATGGACACTTCGTTCTGAGTAGCTAAATCTGAAACAACAACAACAACAGTCTACAGTTACTTCATATGTTCTCCCGAGGTCTTGACGATCATAATATATGTATATATACTACACACAGAAATCACAATAGCGTGATGCATCAAATGAACAAATCCACAAGGGCCATGATGAGGGTTCGAACTTATGTCCGAGAGGAGCTCGCCTAGTTGTACTCACCTAGTTGTGTTTGCGGGGGTTGAGCTCTGGCTCTTTGGTCCCGCCTCTCAACCGTCAATCAACAGGTGTACAGGTTCCTGAGCCTACTGGGCTCTTATCATATCTACATTTGAAACTGTGTATGGAGTCAGCCTCCACCACATCACTTCCTAATGCATTCCATTTGTCAACCACTGACTCTAAAAAAGTTCTTTCTAATATCTCTGTGGCTCATTTGGGCACTCAAGTTTCCACCTGTGTCCCCTAGTGCGTGTGCCCCTTGTGTTAAATAGCCTGTCTTTATCTACCCTATCAATTCCCTTGAGAATCTTGAATGTGGTGATCATGTCCCCCCTAACTCTTCTGTCTTCCAGCGAAGTGAGGTTTAATTCCCGTAGTCTCTCCTCGTAGCTCATACCTCTCAGCTCGGGTACTAGTCTAGTGGCAAACCTTTGAACCTTTTCCAGTTTAGTCTTATCCTTGACTAGATACGAACCCCATGCTGGGGCTGCATACTCCAGGATTGGCCTGACATATGTGGTATACAAAGTTCTGAATGATTCTTTACACAAGTTTCTGAATGCCGTTCGTATGTTGGCCAGCCTGGCATATGCCGCTGATGTTATCCTCTTGATATGTGCTGCAGGAGACAGGTCTGGCGTGATATCAACTCCCAAGTCTTTTTCTTTCTCTGACTCCTGAAGAATTTCCTCTCCCAGATGATACCTTGTATTTGGCCTCCTGCTCCCTACACCTATCTTCATTACATTATATTTGGTTGGGTTAAACTCTAACAACCATTTGTTCGACCATTCCTTCAGCTTGTCTAGGTCTTCTTGAAGCCTCAAACAGTCCTTTTCTGTCTTAATCCTTCTCTCCTTCTGTGTGTGTGTGTAGGTGTGTATACTCGACCTTGTCCAAAACTAATCTATTATCGATTTTGTAACCATCCGAACGGTTTTGCTCTTCACAACAGCCGGAACGAGGACGTGTGAAATTTCACCACTCTCGTGGCCCACACCACACTCATGGCCCACACCACACTCATGGTCTACACCTCACTCGTGGTCAACACCTCACTCGTGGTCTACACCTCACTCGTGGTCTACACCTCACTCGTGGTCTACACCTCACTCGTGGTCTACACCTCACTCGTGGTCTACACCTCACTCGTGGTCTACACCTCACTCGTGGTCTACACCTCACTCGTGGTCTACACCTCACTCGTGGTCTACACCTCACTCGTGGTCTACACCTCACTCATGGCCCCACACCTCACTCATGGCCCCACACCTCACTCGTGGCCCACACCACACTCGTGGCCCCACACCTCACTCATGGCCCCACACCTCACTCGTGGCCCACACCACACTCGTGGCCCACACCTCACTCGTGGCCCACACCTCACTCGTGGCCCACACCTCACTCGTGGCCCACACCTCACTCGTGGCCCACACCTCACTCGTGGCCCACACCTCACTCGTGGCCCACACCTCACTCGTGGCCCACACCTCACTCGTGGCCCACACCTCACTCGTGGCCCACACCTCACTCGTGGCCCACACCTCACTCGTGGCCCACACCTCACTCGTGGCCCACACCTCACTCGTGGCCCACACCACACTCTCCCCATAATTCCTGTTTATTTGAATTAAAACTAGCATAGAAATTTGATCAAACCTAACCTAACTTAATATAACTCAGTCAGTAATTCATGTTCTTAATATTTTTGTTTAAATAAAATATCATTATTTGATTCAGTTACATTATTGTGACCGTTTCTCCTCATTGACATCTATGGCATAAATAACATCTGATTTGCCCTGGATACCACACAGCTCACAAAGTGCCAAGGATGCTTTAAAATACTTGGTATTTCAAAGGTTTTTTTATACTTCAGCTCTGAAAAAGTTTCATTTGCCTTAGTTTAGAGCACTGTTCTTGCATGTGGAATAGCTCCCCCTTTACCAAAATCTTGAATTCAGTTCAGAGGAAAGCTATATGATCATTTTACCTGCCCTCTTACAGTATCTGTGCTTGAGTCATTGGCCTCCTTCACTCTAAAAGTTGCTCTTAAGAACTCTCAAGTTGTGTGCCCCTCTTAAAGTATGGTCGTGGGATGCTTGCACTGCAGTTTCTCAGTGTTGCAATGTCCCACTGTTTCGTTGAGTCCCATTGGCTGGTCTCTTGCCACTTCCACTGTCACCCTCGCAATGTTGCACAGTACTGTCATTGTTTGGAAGCAAGGTTGTTGATTTCTGGAACAAATTATATGGCAACAGCAGAGGGTGTTACCAGATGCTGCATGTGCTCTTAAGCACACTAGAGCTTAAGATTGTTTCAAGTGTATGTTAGACATATGAATGAGTTTGGGGGGATATAAATAGGAGCTGCCTTGTACGGTATGAGCCAATAAGCCTTTTGCCGTGTTCTTTATTCATATGTTCGTATTTACTTAGTTTCATCTTCGGCTGTTTCAGCCCCCTACTTGCAGCATAATTTATTAGCAAAATTCAAATACAGTACTGTAATTTAATTAGCTGATTTTGTTTCAGATTGGGCATGTGTGTGGGGGTGCTAATCAAGGCTGGTATGGACGAAGAGAATTGTTTGTGGCTTTGAAACTTGTGGCTACAGCCCAGCGAGGTTTGCCAGTAAGGACTGAATCTCTCTTCCTTGGGGTGGATCTGCCACTGCCACGATTACACACTAACAACAACACACACTATGGTAAGTGTCAGATTTTTTGTACAAACCATTTTTTCCTATTTTTGTTTTGTGGTTCCCCGTGTTTTATCATTTTGTGTGAGTCATACATTGTTCATATTTTTGTTGCTGTCATCAGACTCACTTAACATGTGCCTTCTTCCAAGGTCTAGATTTATATTGTAGTAACTCCAACTTCTCTTAAATTTATTTAGCTACCCTGTGAATTCCACCACCTTGACAGTCACAAGTTATGCCTGTAGCCAAAATTGAAGGTAAGGCAAATTTTTTAATTATATAGATGATAATTATATATTCCATTTGCAGAAAACAATGTGGCCTACACCACGAAAGAGAACTGCGCCTCTAGTCCGGACCTGATCCAACTCAGTGACTCCGACTGCAATACGTCACAGGTCAGGGTTATTGGTCTGATCTGGAACTGATGTAGCCTAGATACCATCCGGGCATGTCATTGATGTATACTACAAAACATTGTGTACCCTTCTAGTTCCTTTAAGTCTTTTGTTACTCTGATCTTTCTATTCACTAGTTCCTCGTCAACTGCAGTTGTTTCTCTCACATACCTCTCGATTGTTCCAGCTTCCAATTAAATTTTGTGGGTGATACTGACAAAAGCTTTTTTTCATAGTCTTTCTGCCCATCCATCTTTTTCCTGTAGTGTTATATCAGTCATTTATTCTTAGAAACTTGACTTGTTCAATACACATGATTTCTTGGCTTTAAGTTCAAACTGTTTATTGGTTAGCATGTTATTGCCTTTTTGGTGGTTTATCAATACAAGTGTAATTGTTTTTACTACTATACTGGTTTGGGGATACTGATATAATTTGAAGGATATTCTTTATTGCCCTATTTATATAAAAGGGCCATATTTCTCATTTTCCAATTATCTGGAAATTTGCTTTCATGAAGTAATGTTTGGAATATAGTTCACAGTGGGTAGCTAAGCTTGACTGCATGCTCTCTCTGTAGCCAAGGTCTCGCTGCTTTATTTCTGCTTTAAGTCCACGAGCAGCTTCTGTACATCCTTTCTGGATCAGTGAATGTTTTCTATAGTCTGACATTGCCTGTGTGTGTGTTGGCCTTGGTGCCATATGTGCCTATTTCTTCACTAGTACACTTCGGAATTTCACATTCAGAGCTTCACACATGTCTTCTTTCCTCTCCAAAAGTGTGTTGTCAACTTCCAATCTCTGGATATTTTTCTTTAATACTGTACAGGTATTTCATTTTGTTTATATAAACTTGAAAAAAGTTAAGGTCAGATTTACTTTTGGTCTCTGTCCCCCCCCTTGTCACTTTTTTTTGTTCCTCTGTCCTCCTTGTCCTAGTATACTTCTTATTGCTGTGTTTGTTCTGTGTTGCTGGTGCATTTGAAGCGTTGGACTTATCGTGAAATATTTCCAGGCTTTTACTTTGTTCTCTGTGGTTGTTTAGCCTGCCCTATTAAACCAATCTTAAGGAGTGGCACTGGGCCAACTCCAAATTGCCTATGAGGCTCATACACCCCCTTGTGTCATCTTACAAATTTGAGTGAGACTAACCCTAAGTCTCTGACCTTGTACTTTCAACAGATGCACACATTATATTTTATAGATATAGATGTATTTATATATTTTATAGATATATATACTACTTCTATAGTAGTATTTATTTTGAAAGCTTACCTCATTTCCTTGGCAACATTTATTTTGCAATTTTCAGTACTTCGGCCGAAGGTTGGTACTGTCTAATTTTAGAGATGACATAATTTGTATGATGTCTACATCTTTATGTAATTCTTTAAAACATAATTCAAAATGCTCATGGTTTTTTTTCACAACGTAGATGGTTGATGGTGGATATCGAATGATGGAGAGTGAAGATGGTGAAGGAGCAGATGAGAGAATGAGTGATCCTTCGGGTCGAATGGTATCTCATTCTACATCTGTATCATCTCCTGCGTCAGACTCCCCAACCCCAACCAACAGTGTCCACGAGAAAACTTGGGGGCAAGCGCATACACACTGGCATGGTTTAAGTTAGTATGAAAATACTGTATATTTATTTCAGAATGTAGTACAATAGGAACTTTTTGATTGTTTTGCTTTATTTTGGGGAAACATTTTAGGCTATTTTTAAGCAAATAGTATATTTAGTTTATGAGTAAAATGCTGCATGGCTCAGATTGTATGCTGAAATAAGATAAAATAGATAGGGTGTGCCAAATCTTTGGCAAGTATTCCTGTTCTGCATTTTTTTATTTATATTTATCAGTATTTCATGTTTTTTTCTGGCAGTTAATGATGAGCACCGGCAGTTACTAGGTACAGAAGAAGATTCCTCAGAGTGTCACTCTTCTGGGGAAGAAGACTACGATGTGTGGACAATTACCGAGGAACAACGTCAGTATTATACCGAACAATTCTGCTCAATGCAGAGTGATCTCACTGCACTGCTGTCGGGAACAGCTGCCAAAGAGTTTTTTGAAAAGTCAAAACTTCCTGTAAATGAATTAAGTAAAATATGGTAAGAGTTCCTTATATTTCTGTATGTTCATACCTATCATTCAGTCTGGCTTAAGGCATTGCAGTTTTCCCTCAAGACAAATCTTGGGCTGCTCTTTAATTTGCTTCATGCATGAGAAGTGATGGATTTTTATTTTGAAGGGGTAATCTTGCATGATGCAAAAAAACGCTATTGTTTTCTCTCTCTTGGTACAGATTGTGAATCCAATGTTCTGAGTTCAGTTGCGGTTTTAGTAATCCATTTTGAAAAATGTTGACCTTCAATTAAGAAGGTGTGGCGGGCTTTTGTGCAAGGATTAGGGTGAGCTAGCCTAAGCATTTTAGATACCAATTAAAGAATTAATTTCAGTAACATGATCAATAATGCTCAGAATATAACATTCCTTCCCCATATTAAGTATATTAATCAAAAGAAAAATCTAATATATGTGAGGGGCATTATTTGAATATTTCTAACTTTGCACCATAGCTTGGATTAAACCTTAAGACCATAGGAATAAAGGAATTATAAAAGGCCTATTGGCCTATATGAGTCAGCTCTTATTTATATTCCTATGACAACCTTGAGAACTTGAGGTCTCTCGGTAGAGCAACGTTCTTGCTTCATGATGGTCGGCGTTCAATCTCCGACCGTCCATGTAGTTGGGCACCATTCCTTCCCTCTGCTCTATCCTAAATCCTTATCCCTATCCTAAATTCTTATCCTCATCCCTTCCAAGTGCTATATAGTCGTAATGGTTAGCGCTTATTCCTAACGCGACGTATTTAAGCATACTGGTGACTGTGGGATGGTGTTATCTTACATTCCCATGGCTGTTGAACATGAGGTTGTCTTCTTCAATGGCAAAATTCATGAATGTTTAGAGTATACAGATAATCTTGGACTAAAAAAAATGTAAATGTTCTTGAATAGGAGAACTAATTTGGGATGGCCCACAAGACATACATGTCTTTCTAGAGGTTACACTTTTATTCAAGTCATGTCGGTCCTTGTTTCATTTCATTTTTTTTTTTCATTTTTATTGTCATAAATGTCAATCAGGGTGCAAAAGGAATAATTTGTCTTTCGATGGTGGGTGAACTTGCCACTTTTTCACAGATTCGCTTCCTGTCTCTTTTTAAAAGTCCCATAATAAACTGTTGCCCATTTTATGTCATGTGGGTTCACTCCTCTTTCTCTTTATCTGTGAAAGGGCTAAGATTTGTACGTTGAATACGGGGGTTAGATGAATGGGTTGAATCTTTGAGACATGTTCGGCTTGATGTTAATGTACATTACAGTATTCTATTTGTGAACTCATTAAATATATGCGGTAAACATTGGTGCTGATATAGAAAACAAATTTACTTTTTAGTACAAGTAATGTTAAAGGTTACATAACATTTATATATCTGCACAAATAAAGTCTTATTTAATAAGTCTCGCCATGAAGTATTATAATATGATGTAAAACTCTTCATTCTCTACCCCTTAAAGGTAAGATTTTGTATATTGCACTGAGAAAAATCATTGATCCTTACAGGCAGCTAGCAGATGTAACAAGAGATGGAGCACTCTCACTAGAGGAATTCTTCGCTGCAATGCACTTAGTAGTTTTGCGGAGAAATAACATAGAACTTCCTGAAACTCTCCCTCCGTCTCTGTTTCCAGCATTACAGGTAAGATTTTTGCATTGGTTGATCAAGCCAATTAATTACAATGCTGTAATTAATGTAATTAGACTTGACACTTTTTGACAGATCAGTGTTAAAAAACAGGCTATTTAAGCATTACTGAAGCCTTCCCTTCCAAATTAATATGGGTACAGTATTTAAGGAGATTAAGAGTGGCGAACCATCTTTGCTATCATCTTCATGATTAGGGTCAGGGGTGCTCCTTATCCCCATTTCCCATTTTAATGGGGAATGATGATAATGTAGGAGGGAAGCTTTTTATTGTTTATCTATCCCAGCGGAAGAGTAGCAGCAGTGGAGTTGATGGTGGAAACTCGGGAGCATCCGGTAACTCTTCAGTTGTGCCTGGTGCGGCTGTCGTTCCCGACACAGATGTTGGTACCAAGGCAACTCCCGATCCTCTCTCCCCATCTAGAAATAAAGAGGTATGTATGGTTAAAGAAACACAGTATGCATTTGTTATTGCTGTTTAGAAATTGTGTTGAGATAATGTTCTTATGAATTCATAATGCCCAGAGGAAATGTTTTGCCAGATTACTGTTGTTATGAGTTAGAATTATTTGCTTAACTTGTGGTCAGAGTTGTTTTCATTGAACTGGGTGTGCATAGTTCAATTACAGCATTGGTGAGTAAATACACATGCATAATGGATGCAAGTGCAACACTCAGATGAGTCGTAAATTTATTACATAAACAAATGCAAAATGTGCGAGAGGATATTACTATTTGACTCGTGGCCCAACGCCAGAAAGTGAATACTGGTGGAGACTGCTGGGCTGAGGCGAGGATCGCAGGCTGTCGAGCAGGTGGTCGACGGACAGCTAGAGACGATTACTGGACAGGACAGCTGAGGTCTGCTGCAGCTGTAAATAGACAGAATCCCTCACCGACATGCTCCCCGGTACTACAACATTCTCCCTTGATGGAATTGAGATCATTAGACAAGTTATCTGGGCATCAGCTGGTTACGAGTAGTGCAGAATGTGGCATGCTGACACCCTCCTCGCTAGATTTGCCTAATTGTGCAGATGCAATTCACAAATAAAACCCAATGCCTCAATAAATTACTCGTGTACAATATTTCAGTTGATCATATGGCAACTTTCACTCGCATACATTGCAACAAGCACTCGTGCAGCATGCTTATTGGACCCCCCCTGCTCCTTTATGGGTATTCAAAGTCATAGGATATTTGTACATCACAATAAGACAGAGAGAAATTACTACATATGCATTCATAAGGTATGGCTTCACCTATTAAATCTTTATTCTCTGTCAGACTCTCCTAGCAGAGATCAGCTAACCAAAGTGGAATTTTAGTGACTACTTATTCTTAAATGGGGCCAATTTTTTGTCCAACTCTTTGGAATAGCTCACAGCACTTGCACTCATCGACAATTACTGGCAGGACTATCACACTGGTTGTTATTTTGAGTAGTTAATTCTCATTACTGAAGCTGCAAGTTACTGTATTTCACTTTTCTAGATTATGTAACTACAGTACATACATGCCTCAACCTCTTTAGTGATTCACTTTCACCTATTGCTATTTGTGCACATGTCAGTCACTTAGTTGTTAATTCTGAAGTGTCAGTCACCAGTCCTGTTCTCCTTATTAGACTAATCCCTCAGATACTGTTAACTCTGCAAGAACTCGAAACTGGCAAGTCCTCAAAACTGTTACAGATTCAGGTGGATTTACTTGTTCCTTACATAGGATGAGGGAGCACTCATATTTACTGGATATCACTGTATTTATAATACCTTCAAAACCAAACTTTGTGGACACCAAAACAGTCTGATCTTTCTCGTATCTATAGTCAAACACTCGTATCAGTAGCATAGTAATGTTACTCCACTTTAGGGATCACTTCACACACTGGGGTGCTTTCAGAAGCTGTACTGCACTTGGCTACTCACCATTGTATATATAACATGTCACCTAGGACTGAAAATATCTATGCTTTAAATAACTCATTTACACCTTGACATTATGAATCTGTCACAGTGTCAATTTTACAAGCCTCTTGTTTCATATACAGTAGAAGTCTAACTTGAGTACACAGCTCCTGCCATCCTCCCTGCATTAAGTTCAGTGAGATTCTTATAGAGTCCCCTAGTACATTTTTATGGTTTTGAATCTGATGGAAGTAGCCAATAGAAAACCAAGGGTTGATTTCACTTAATAAATAATTGTTGCCCTGCCAGCATTTTGTTGTTGGTTACAGAGGAAACCTGTTACAATTGATATACAGTACAGTAATTCTCCAAAAACTGTAAGGCTATCTAGTTTTTGTTGGTTACCGAGGGAAATACATTTCCCTCTTAATTCTCACTTTTATATTAAACCCTAAAAATCCACATTGATGGGCAAAATATGTATTTCAAAACAGTGTTTGTGTCCATTTCTTCAATCCTCCTAAAATGAGGTTTTATACCTGTTTTGAAAGAGTGAAGTCTTCCTGTTATGGGTCATTTGGGAATCCCATCTGTTAAATGGATTCATATATTTTTTCCAAGAAATTTTTGTTAGGGCACTATGAGTTTTTTTTTATTAGCATCAATGATTCAACACTTATCTGTATGTATTTAAATACCCAATTTACATGGACAAAATTATAATTTTAGTGCTATATATTATATTTATAAACTAGGAAGACATTTTTTGTTGGCCTCAGTTGAGCTACTGCTGCTGCCTCGTTACCCTCTGATGCCAGAAAGTTTATTTACAAGGATTATTGGAAGATAGTATAGTACTGTATTTGTTGCTGCAAAAATTAATTTCAGCAAAATGAAAATGACTTTAATTATATATTTAATTTTCATTAGAATGTTCTCTGGTGCTCTCCAACATTGGGATAAATAGGATAAACCTTCCTCCGATGCCTTACACTGTATACGATTTGATTATTGGACACGTAGGTGGGCAAATGCAGACTTATTGTTTAGAGAGGGGATGGAGGGAGGGGGTCTGTTTTACAAGAGAGAGATCACCATATGTCTCATCCATCAATGTGAGTTTTTATTGTTTTATTACTCTTACTTACATGAAATTTGTCCATTTCTATATTAAGATAGAAATAATATAAGAACCATTTTCCACTGTATTCTTGTGCACACATTATAGCTTTGAAATTTATGTTTTCCTCTTATGACATCTGCATACCTGTTATTATTTCAGTAGCTTCTCATTCTTATCAGAAAGAAACCCATTTCTTAACCTATCTATGTAATAGAAAATACTGCATATAGATCTTACAGACTTGTCACAATAATATGGCTAACACAAATGACCCAACCCCACACACACACATGAAGTGTAATTAGATTGGCGAAGTTTCCGTCTGTCCTGGACTCTTACTGACTTGATAAAGAGTCTGGGAGGAACCGAAATAATTCCTAATTAATAATTCATTGTGTCGGGGGACAGGAAGCTAGAGTGTATTCATAAACGGTAGATTTATATCGAGGTCTCCCCACCCACCCACCCCTAAGGTTGAATTACTGACCCTGCCCAGGATGCAACCCCACAACAAGCTGACTAACTCCTGAGTACCTACTCACTGCTAGGTGATCAGAGGCATTAGGTGAAAAGAAATTTGCCCAGCCATTTCTGTCCCTTCTAGGATTCGAACCCGGAATTCTCGCTCGTGCGGCGAGAATGAACCCGTCTGTACTACCGGGACCCTAAAAATGTTATCACTTTCATTCCACTTCACGTGTGTGTATGTGTTGGGTTGTTATATATATAAAAATAGTTAATTAATACTTGAAACATATCATGTGGGCAGCTTGCAGAAATGTTAGAAGTGATCCTGCAACATAATTTAGATATTTCTAACTAGAATTCTAGTTAATCTCTTGCCATAGGTGTCTGAAAGACATCAAGTTAGCTGTAACATTTTAAGAAGGGTGTGTATGAAATATATAGTATACTAGGCCATATTAAACAACTTAATAAAGAAATTGAAAACTGTCTACATATTGCTCTTAAGATCTGACAATTACAAGGCATAAGTATAATAGCTCATGACATTTAAATAACTAATGCCAACTGTTATGGTTATACTGTAGTTAACAATGGATGTCTTTGAGGAACATATAAGTTTTACTAATACTGTAAGTCCCAGGGGACAGGAAGACTGTACTTAGGTTTGTCAAGGTAACCCCAAGGCCAGCTACTGAACATTTCCAGATGTAATCCCACAACAGTGTCTTGACTCCTGGTTACTTATTTACTGTTAGGTAAATAGAGGCATTGGGTGAAATAAAATGTTCCCAGCTGTTTCCGTCTTTTCTTGGGGGGGGGGGGGGGATTGAACCCAGGTGCCATGATTGTGAGTTTAGGCCGTAGACCACTGTGCCTTGAGCTGGGGTGTAATGTAGCTACAGTACTCGGTATGCTGACTTTGCAAAGCTGACCATCAAATCTGTAGTATTTGTTCTTTCTGACAGACAACTTAACACATTTCTGCATCTTGATAGTCTTTGTTCAAACTCTTGTAGAAAATCTTTTCGTAATTAACATGTGGTTTGTCTTGCGATGATCTGAAGCTACCCACATTAGTGGAAGGGAAGGGAACAATCAGGAGAAAGCACCAAGCCATTACGCCTATATAACACTGGGAAAGGGTCAGGATAAGGATTAGGGATTAGTTCTTGAACTTGATTAGTAGAAGCTTCACAACCTAATATGCCTCAAATTAAGTGTCATTTACCTATACGACTGCTTCACAGTTCAAATAGAGATGAGAAACCAATCATATGACTAGCTGTTGTTATGTATATATGCCTCTCTGTCTCATTAATTCTACATATGGTATGTTTGTACAAATTTATTACTCGCAGAATTATGTTAATTCTGGTACACAACAAATTCTATATGCAACACCTGGTTGTGTTGACCTGTTTGTAATGCAAAACAGGCCATTGATTGTCTAGATAATTAAAAAATTGCATGTTAAAATAAAACTTTTGTAATAAAATTTTACTACCAAAAAAACTCTAAAAAAATGTGTTCTGTTTGTTTTCCAGTGGACAAAATTTGTAGATTCACCTACCAGCACATTATCGTCACCTGGTTTAAAACCTGTCAATTTTGACTTTCAAAAGTCTGCTCTTGAGCAGGTAAGGTCCCAAATCTTGTGTACTTTAGAGAACTCTATTTATATATTCATTTAGGTGCTTCCCATGTGTCGACGAAGGTGAAGTTGCACGAGAATGTTGGCTTGTATATTTTTGCCTAGAAACACTCATGGATGTAGTTTCATGAAACTTTTATACTCTCTTAGTATGTTAAGAATCCTAATTCTTTTAATTTTGTATTTAATTATTAACATTATTTTAATATCTTGTAAATTTCTTTTTGCCTAATTGAAGAAAATTATGCAACATCAGTATTCTTTCAGAAATAAACAGGGCTGTTTGGCACTTGATAGGAAAGTGAGAGAGCTAGACTAGAGAAGAGAGGAAGTGGTATTCAAGTGGAAATTTTAACCTTTAGCAATGGTTATTATCTTATAATTATTGAATACTAGTACAACACTTGTGCCATGGGGGGGGGGGGGGAGGTAGTAACTGTCACATTATAATTCCCGTTGTCAGGAAGACGAAGCCAGTTCTTAAGCTTATTGTGGCCTCCTTAGGCCAATGGCCAACCTTCCCAGGATGCAACCTGCAACCTATAAGTAAATAAGTACATGTCTTACTTCCAGATACCTATTTACTGGTAGGTGAACAGAGCCATCAGGTGAAAGGAAATGTGCCCAACCATTTGTGACCCACCTGGGGATCAAACCCACAATTCCTTAATTGTGAATTGACACATAGATCACTGTGCTACAGGATCCATATGTACAGTAAATGGCAATTCAGCCCTTGAGGTTATCTTGAGATGAGGTTATCTTGAGATGATTTCAGGGATTTAGTGTCCCCGCGGCCCGGTCCTCAACCAGGCCTCCACCCCCAGGAAGCAGCCCGTGACAGCTGACTAACACCCAGGTACCTATTTACTGCTAGGTAACAGGGGCATAGGGTGAAAGAAACTCTGCCCATTGTTTCTCGCCGGTGCCCGGGATCGAACCCGGGACCACAGGATCACAAGTCCAGCGTGCTGTCCGCTAGACCGACCGGCTCCCTGTGTAGAGCAGTCTTCAGGTTATGAAGGTTACCCCTGCCATCAGTTGATGTTGCTGGAGTTCAAATGACCTAATGAAAAAATTCCTACTTTATTGGGTATAAATATTTTTATAATAACTGGGCAACTGAAAACAAGTAATTTTTAACAAATGATAAATTCCAGTCACTACTTTGATGTGGAAACGATGAAGAACTTTACCTAGATACGGGATCCAGGACACACTCCGATTTCTGAGAATGGAAATAACATGTTAGCGGTCTAGGAATAATGTGTGTGTGTGTAATTACCTAAGTGTAGTCACAGGATGAGAACTATGCTTGTGGTGTCCTGTCGTCCCAGCACTCTTTGTCATATAACAGGCATATAATGGGTTCAGGAACTGAACCCCGTATCTCATTTAGCTAAGCAAATGACAATCTTTTGAAGCTAGTGACACAATTGTCACAAATGCGAACAAGCTTGAATGGTCCCCAAGCCAGTATACAACTGAAAATTCCACACCCCAGAAGGATTCGAACCCAGACAGCCAGGAGTACTATGCACCATGGCGTGCCTGGTTCCTTAACCACTCAACCACCGTGACTGTACAGATTCGATCTGCAGACTGTGAGGCCGCAGAGGACGCTCCCACACCTGGACTACTGCGGCTCCTATAATAGGAGCGTCGTAGCATATCTGGGCTGGACCTGCAGACTGTGAGGCCGCGGAGGACGCTCCCACACGTGGACTACTGCGGCTCCTATAATAGTAGCGTCGTAGCATATCTGGGCTGGACCTGCAGACTGTGAGGCCGCGGAGGACGCTCCCACACGTGGACTACTGCGGCTCCTATAATAGGAGCGTCGTAGCATATCTGGGCTGGACCTGCAGACTGTGAGGCCGCGGAGGACGCTCCCACACGTGGACTACTGCGGCTCCTATAATAGGAGCGTCGTAGCATATCTGGGCTGGACCTGCAGACTGCGAGGCCGTGGAGGAAGCTTCCACACGTGGACTACTGCGGCTCCTATAATAGGAGCATCGTAGCATATCTGGGCTGGACCTGCAGACTGTGAGGCTGCGGAGGATGCTTCCACACATGGACTACTGCGGCTCCTATAATAGGAGCGTCGTAGTATATCTGTGCTGGACCTGCAGACTGTGAGGCCGCAGAGGAACCTTCCACACATGGACTACTGCGGCTCCTATAATAGGAGCGTCGTAGTATATCTGTGCTGGACCTGCAGACTGTGAGGCCGCAGAGGAAGCTTCCACACATGGACTACTGCGGCTCCTATAATAGGAGCGTCGTAGTATATCTGTGCTGGACCTGCAGACTGTGAGGCCGCGGAGGACGCTCCCACACCTGGACTACTGCGGCTCCTATATAAAGTGAGAATCCTCAAGATCTTCTCTGAATACTCTTTATTTTCTTTTTCGAGGCTATGGGTCCCTATGGGTCCCTCTGTGTGTGTGTTTTTTTTTTTTTTTTTTTACTATTTATATTTAATATTTGTGCCCACAGAATCGAGCTAATTAGCTCTTGAACCCTGCCTTTCTAACAAATCTGTTTTTTCCCTATTATATCTACTACATATATTCTCTCTTAACACACACGCACATACGTCCCCAGGAAGCACCCCGTAGCAGTACTGTACCTTTGAACTCTCGGGTACCTATTTACTGCTAGGTGAGCAGGAGCATCAGGGTAAAAGAAATTCTGCCTGTTTATTTCTGCCTCGGTCGGGAATCGAACCCAGGCCATTAGGACTACGGCCCCCATGCACTATCCATTCAGCCGCGAGGCCCCCCATGTGTGTGCTTGTGCATATGCTTTTACTCGCCTAGTTGTGCTTGCAGGGGTTGAGTTTATTTACTTGTGTATGTGTGTGTTTGTATTTTATATTTATTTTTACAGGACCCAAAGATCCTTCATCCTAAGGCTGTGAGATTAACTCCTGAATCAAAAAGGTTAGAAGTTGCAGAGGTAGAAGGTCCAGCATCATTCAGCCCTGATCCGGCGTTAACATCGACTGAATTGAATTCGGCAACTACATCCTCGGGAGATTCCCAACCAGGACAGCCCACAGCCGCCACTGTCTCAGGAACAACACAGAGTAGTCCAAAGAAAACTCAAGAAGGACAGGATATAAAGCCTATTCAGAGGCCTCTGCCAAGGAAACCTCCTGGTAAAGCTTTGATGTTATTCAAGTGCTTACATTCTTTTATTTTATGGGCTTGTAATAAAAGCAACTGTAATATTATGTCTCAACTGGGACTGTATCAGTGCACTTTTTCTATCATAATTAGGTATTCTTGGTAGGTATACTGTATGTTGTGTTTGGTTGGATTTTCTTCCTTCTGACATATGTTTATTCATCATATCAAGAGCCCTTCATTGTATTGATTTAATTCATCAAATATGTGAAGTTTGAGCATAAGCTTTTTTTATGATTGAATTTAATCAATGTAGCTCCATAGCATCTTTTCTTTCAATGTCTTGAGAAAAGCTCATCATATTGACTTGAAATTGACAAAATTTATTCATGATCAAAGATTATGCTAATTTTGTCACTATTGTATGTAGACCAATATCACTTATATTTTTATTTTTTAAAGGATGTTAAATGTTAACCTTCTATGGATGAGCGGGAGAATTTTATCCTTAGTTAAGAAGAGGTCAAAATGAAAATAAGTTTCCAACAAGATCTCCCTAACCCATCACTACCATCAATCTATCAAAAAACTAAATTAAAAGGGTGGAAAGATTCGTAATAAGAGTGCTTGGCTGCAACGATATGTTAAGGAAACCATTTTTTTGCATCCCTGGAGGAGAAAAGGAATAGAAGGGATATAATCACTACTTGTAAGCTACTAAGGGAAATAGACAAGGTGGATATGGATAGCTCTTTGAATTGAGAGAAAAGTAGTACTGTATATAAGAACATAGAAGGAAGCGAGTAATCAGTTAGCCAAAGAATTGTAAAGAAATACTCGCACTTTGTATAGTTAGGAGGCAGGCCATAAAAAGTTAAATCTCACTCCCTCTGTAGTTACTGATAGGGAAACACCACTTTTTCTCATTCTTCTCTCTCTCTCTCTCTCAAAACTATCCTAAAACTATACGAAAAACAACTCCCCAGTTTCAGAGTTCATGAAAATGGCAAAAGTTATTGTAGAAGCTAATATTTCTTTAAGGGTGGCACTAGGGCTAACTCAAGACTGGTCTATGACACTCCCATACTCCCTGTGTGTCATTTTGGATAGTTGGGTGAAGCTAGCCTCAAATATCTGACTTCCTACTTTGAACAGATAAACCCAGACATTCTATTTTATAGATACTGTATAGATATGTACATATAATTTTTTTATTTCTTATCACAAATACAAATTGATGGGTGTGTGTATTGTCTTCAATATGAATAAATAATTAAATGTTTTGTAGTCATAATGTTACGGTTAGGTAAATTGAAAGCTGATGCCTACTTAATAAGAGATACTGGTATTAATATAACGATGGTTCGTATGCAGGTTCTACGACAGGAGCTCTCCCGCCCCCACCCCAGCCATCTTTGGGCACCCCACCTGAAGACACGGGGTAAGGCTTTGTAGCTCCATCTTCCATTATGCTTAAAAGAGTTGGGTTCTGGAATGGATAGTGATATTTGTTCTCTTTAGCAGTATTAATACTACAACTTCAGTTATCCTTTGGCCTTCAGCACTTGCACTTCTACTGGAGATAACATTTTGACAGATTTTTGGGGAAGATGCCACCTTGTGCCACCTTCCTCCTATATATATATATATATACAAGCACTGTTGTCTTTATCACTTATTTCCTTGAACAGCTATATATAAATTACTTTTAACATAGAGGATTATTTTTCCCAGGATGTATGGTCCCACCAGTTTGCCGATGATTCCAAGTGCTCCTCTTCCTGGAGGGAAAAAGGAACCCCCTCCGCCTCCACCTCCAAGACCTGCAAGAACTCACACTCGCTCATCATCCTTAGACCTCAATAAGTTCAGTAAGTCACTAGTCTTAATTTACATTTGCCTGCTTTTGACGCTTCTAGGTTTTGTTTCTTTTGCATATATCTACGCCAGCGGTGGGCTGGTGCTGTGGATGACCGATGGAGTGGAGGAGGGCTTTTTCATCTGTGATGTATTATATGATATATGTACTGTGAATGATATAATGTATAGATGAGTGATATTTTTTTAATGTTTATTATTTGACATCTATAAACTTTTTAGTATATGAAAGTGAGAACCAGGAAATAATAATGTATATATATTTGAATAGTTTCAAGTATTTTTTATTTATTTATCAAGGCAGTACGCTTTCTTATGCCTGACAAACATCTTGCATATAAAAAATCATCTTAGTGGCATTTTATGTATGACAATAATTTTGAACTACCTACAATAAACAAATTTTCCATACATCTTAGGTTTCTCAAATATTAATCATTTCTCCGAAGCATACGCTATATTCTTTTTAAATCAGTGGGTAGGTTAACCAAGTACATTTACTTTACTTGCAGATCGAAGCACCTTTCTTGGAGCGCCTCCTGCAGTCCCACCCCGAGCCTCACCGGGAGCGGTGAGTATATCACATCTTGGCTTTAATAATGATCATTGTGACATTTTATATCATTATCTGGGGGGAATCCCTTTGGCTCCCCAAAGCTATTCAGGCTGATATATATATCCCTAACCTTTGGCATCAGTGTGGATGGAGTTCTAGGCCTACCGGGGACCACGAACCAGAACCTGGCCCCCTCAGAGAGGTACAAGAAGCAATGTCCTATAGAAATGCACATGTGATTTGGAGCATTCTATATCTGCCATTGACTGGGACAGGCACCCAGAAAGATAAGCACCCCAAAACAAACCCCTATTCTGGTTAAAACAACGAAAATAGCCAAACAAGTGGACAGAACTCCCCAAATGAAAACGAGCAATCAAGCATGACGTCACACGAGCCGCGCCGCCTGTCTGCACAGCTTCCTCCTCCCCAGGAGGGTTAAAGGGGGAGCCCCAGACCCATCACGCCGGTGATCCAACCACTGGTTCTTAGGTTGATGTGATTGTGGCATGGTCTGGTGGTTCCAGCTCTGGATTCTCTTGCTATGTTGTGCTTGGTGTTCAGTACTGCTCTTACCTCGTGAATGTTCCTGGGCCTAGTCGGGCCTGTGTCGCTTTGGGTCGGCGGTTGCAGTCAGTTGTCTCGACTTCGAGTTGAGATGTGAGCACCGACCGCCTCCCGGGTAAATCCCTCTCATTTTTCGTCTCTGGTGAAGTAGCTCTTGGAAGCGGAAAGGGCTCCCGCCAGAAAACCAGCGTTGTAATGAAGTGCCATTTTCTGGGTGAGTCCCGGAGCCTCCCCAGAAACCCCCTCCCCCCTTTCCCCCGTCGGTGTTTTTTTCACGTGTTTTGACATCCAGCCTAAGAACTAGTGGTTGGATTGCCGGTACGGTGGGTCTGGGGCTTCCCCTTTCCCCTCCCAAGGAGGGGGTAGCTGCGCAGACAGGCGGCGTGGCTCGTGTGATGTCATGCTTGATTGCTCATTTTCATTTGGGGAGTTCTGTTCACTCATTTGACTATTTTCGTTGTTTTAACCAGAATAGGGGTTTGTTTTGGGGCGCTTACCTTTCTGAGTGCCTGTCCCGGTCAATGGCAGATATAGAATGCTCCAAATCACATGTGCATTTCTATAGGCCATTGCTCCTCGGGCGCCTCTGAGGGGGCCATGTTCTGGCTCATGGTCCCCGGTTGGCCTAGAACTCCATCCACACTGACTGATGCTAAAGGTTAGGGATATACATATCAGCCTGGATAGCTCGGGAAGCCTCTGGCACTCACCCAGAAAATGGCGTTTCATTACATTCAACGCTGGTTTTTTATTTGTGTAATTATCATATTTGTGATTTAAGTAGATCTAGTTGTGGTCATGTCTTTGTGGTGAAATGTGTAATTTTTTAAATGTTCGAAAACTAGCAATGACTTTGTGAATTTATATTCTTGCTTGTACAGTATTATTGTTTGAAGACTGTTCTTAATATTATAGTGTCTCCATGATCTTGGGATTCAAGTATTCTGCATCTTGTGTAGTTTTGCTCAAAGCAAATACAAATAAATTGCAGGAAAGTTTTGCATGATTCCATATTTGCTTAAAATTGACATTTGCTCTCGTGTGTAAATTTAACTAGTTTGCGTTCATTAGTAAGTTTCTCCATCCAATTTTGAGTAACCATGTTTGTCAGCAGCTGATCTCTTACAGTATGCCCAGGGCAGGTTATATTTTCATCACTGACAGCAGCTCACCTTGTGGGAGTTTGTAAATTGTTTGTAGAGTTAGGGAGTCCTATTTATGATCTCATATGTGCTGATCTACATGTTAGACGAGCGAGGAAAGATTACTGTCAATTAATATTATACTAGGAGGTAATTACCCAGTTGAGGGGCATAGAGCTATGAGTGATTAGGACATTGATATGCAGTGGCTGATCCACCACTTGACTGCCTTATATTTGGATGTGAATGTTTTGCATTCGACATATAGTACCTGCCTCTTGGTGTCCGAGGCACCATCAACAAAGCTGTTTGGGGGGGATACACATTGAATGTTTCTCTTTACTTGTATTTCTTGATATTCTGTTGGACAAGCAGAACATCTTGCTATGTATCATGTCAGCTCAAGATGCAGGAAATGTCCAAAAAGATTTCTACTAGCAGCGAATGCAAGAATCAAAATTCTTCATTGAATTTTAAGCATAAATTAATGTTAATTAAGAAAGTGCTGAGTAACATCCCTAAAAGTAATGTGCGCTAAATGCAAAAGTGTGCAAGGGAACTTGTTAAGTTTTTTGTGTTTGAAGAGTAATTCTAAGATATATATATTTTTTTTATGCACAAAGTGAAGAAGCGCCGCAGAGACAAGCAGACTAAAGTAAAGTGTGTTGTTGATAAATTAAGTTCACTATCAAGGATCACTATCACTGCAGTTCCCGTGGCGTAATGGTTAAAATCCTTGCCTGGCGTTTCACAAGCGCTTTGTCCTGGGTTCATATCCTGGCCGTGGAGGATTGACTGGGCGCCAATCCTTAACTGTAGCCTCTGTTTACCCAACAGTAAAATGGGTACTTGGTTGTTAAACTATTTGGCGGGTCGTATTCAGGGAATACAGTATTAGTATTAAGGACTTACATGAAATACTATGCGTGCTATTGGCTGTACAAAAATGTAAGAATGCATAAATATATAAATTAAAGGAAAAAAAATTAAAAGGAACAGTTCAGTATGAGTGTAGTTATAGGAAAGGCCTATCTTTGCGAAAAGTGACCTGCCCTGAAAGTTGATTGTTCTTAATATATATTTTCATTGTGTTCAACAAAATACCATTGTAGAGAGCAAATACCAATAATTAGTCAATTTATAACATCACTCTTTTTAAAATTATAAGGGTTGAACAATTTATTAAAAGTTCCAGCCTTGCAAAAGTCTCTCTCAGACATAACATTATTCTTAAGATTTTAACTCCCATTTGTCAGAAATGGTGGTAGAATGGTGTCACTGTGTAAATGTTTGTTTTGTTTTGTTTTTGTGGGTGTATTGTAATATGTTTGTGACCTTTATGATGTGTATAACTGGGTGTTTTCCCCCCCTCCTCCGTCACTATCATCTGTACAGAGAGAGCTCCCTCCCATCATGGTAAGCAATGAGGCACAGTTAGTTGCCTCTGGTCATGTACAAGGTTACTAACTCCTACTGAAGGCTGTTAAGTATATTCGATCATTAATTTGGCATGGACTCCACTGCTGTATACTGTGTTTTGGGTGTCGGTGCATTGCATGTTCACGGTCCTCTGTTGTTTTGGCAAAGTCGCTAAAGAACTTGATTTACTATTACCCTTTGTGTTGCTGATAAGAAGGTCTCACCCCCATATCATTTGTTCATCTCCTTTCAGATCAAATAAAGTTTTGGGCGGCTTTTAGAATACAGTATGTGTATAGTTATAGAAATTGTTCATTTATATTGTAAATGATCATTTATCCTTTAGTTACACATGTTTATAATTGCAGCTGTAATAACTCTCTAGTTATTTGTTAAATTCCTGAATAGCATATTAGATGTTATGCTATATCAATGCAAGTTAGATTATTTCAGTAAATCTTTGTTGACAAAGATGATTTAGTAAATGGTGAATTTGCAGTAACATTAAAGATGAATAGTGTTGAAAATACCTTCTGCAGCCAAACTTTCACTACAAGTGGATTTGACTGATAGGTTTTTTAGGAGTACAGTGTACCTTAAAATAGGATAACCTCTCATTTCTCGGCATTTTCTGTTTTTCGTTTTTTTTTTTTTACGCAACTTAAGTTTAGCGGTTATTTACTGGTATTGATACAAATAGTTTTGCTTGTCAAAAACTTTCACAAAATATATGTGGATGATGAAGCTTGAACTCGCTGGTCAAAAGCATTATACGATACTTGCTCTCGTCTTGTAATTTCACTTCCAGTTTCTCGTAATCAACTGGTGCAGTTGATTTGTGCACCCAAACAATTTGCTGAGAATTAGTAACAATAACATGGCTGAAAAATAATAACCCAACCCACACCGGTCCATCTTGGACTCTTCATCAAGGTATTTTAAGGATTCACGACGGACTGAAAATTCATCACTTTCATTTCACGTGTGGGGGGGTTGGGTTTTCTGTACACTTTCTCTCCATCTCGTGTGTCAATAAATTTTGATTAGATGACAAGTGGATAGAAAGTGGTCTCTGTATATGTGCACTGAATTGTGATCTCTAACAATTTGGCAACTATTTCCCCCTTTTTAAATTAGAAATTGAGGTACTGGGCTTGGATTTTAATGTGTTTTGTATTGCTTAACAAGGAAAAGCAAAATGTATCAATTATAAAATTGCCTCGAGTAAATTTAAGGGTTTCCATAATGCCAAGTATTTGTGATCTCAGCATATGCTAATGCAAAGAGATCTGTCTAAAGTGTAAATAACAATTGCACTTTACCAACAAACTCTTATTATTGTGAATTCTCGTTATTAAATAATAGATTGAAAAAACCAAGCTTGATCATCAACATTAACTTGAAATGGGTTTTATTTAGGCACTTGCAAAGCACTTTCAATAACTCCTTGATTACTGAAATAAAATTGTTGTTTTATCATTCAAGATATGTTTATACAATTTTAAGAATAAATCTTTCTCAGAGTTCACCAAAGAAGCTAATCTACCAGAAGAGTGATGGAGACATGGCTGGAACCGAAGCATATCAGGGAGAAGACGGAACCTACCCCCTGGATGCTCGACCACCTATGGAACATGCCCGGACATCGGCTTTTGAAGTCTACCGGAAGCCACATCAAGGTATTAATTCATTAAAATGTGTAAATAAAGAAATAATTTTCCTTTGACTACATATTTGAATTGGAGATTGAAGTTAGCAACCATAGCTTCCCTTGCGTGTTCCACTTACTCACACTAAAGAAATTCCTTCTTATCGCTCTTTGTGGTTCATTTGGGTGTTCAGTTTCCATTTGTCGCCCCCTTATGTTTCAGGTCAAGTCACACAGGCTGTCCTAGGTAACCTTGTCATTACCCTTGAATGTCTTACGTGTCACAGTCTCTTCCTCTCTAATGATTTAACATTTAGCTCTCAGTGTAAATCTTTGTAACCTGTGTTCTGTAATTTAGGGACAAGCCAAGTCACAAACTTTTTTGCTTTTACTAGTTTGCTTTGTTACACAGATCGGGACAGGAGTAGACACCTTCTGATTCCTGCCAACAGGCTGAGAGCTTTTTCTTTCCATAGTTCATGGTAAACCATGCCCTACAAGTTTTCCCTGGAACATGACCCCACCAAATGGCTTTCACTCGGGTCCCCAATAGGCAGCTCGTGACAATGTCGACAACAGATGTCGTCGCTCATGTACAAAACTTTGAGTTTCCATTGTATCTTTGTTCACTTGCAACATTTCAGTGTTCAATTCTTTGCAATGTTGCAACTACATTACAACTTCTTTCAACTGTATTGCAACATTGAGCAACATGGCATATGTTGCTTTGCAATGACAGTAAGATCACAGCCTTCTACCAGGGGACAGAAAATGAGGTCAGGCGCACTTAACATGTTACACCTCCACTCCTAAAAGAATAGGGGTCGAGTGTGTTCAACAGATGGCATCATTGACAATGCTTTGTAATGTTGCAACTGCGTTACAGCATCTTTCAACTGCTAGTGCTGGAGACATCAATACCAATGTGTTGCTGGAGACCCCTGTCAGTGTGTTGCTGGAGACCCCTGTCAGTGTGTTGCTGGAAATCCCTGTCACTGTGTTGCTGGAGACCCCTGTCAGCGTGTTGCTGGAGAGTAGAAGTGGTGTTTTGGCATCGTGATGATACTGTATAGGAATGGCTCATGATTTACTGAGAAAGGTGAACTCGCCAGTGTGATGACCATCAAAGAGAGACTCGGGGAGGGAACCCCTTGAGTAATGTACAATAGAAGATAGAAGTGGACTCACCGGGAAAGAAGATTGCAGAAGTTTATAGTGTCCTATGTGCATGTGACACCAGCTGTGTTATGTGCTGTACACATGTGTATATAGTTAAGAAATTCACTTGGTGATGGTTCTGTTTAGTGTTTTTACCCCCCTTTTCCTTTAGAGTGTTTATTACTGCCAGTTGTTAATAACGTACTCGCCTAGTTGTGTTTGCAGGGGTTGAGCTCTTTGGTCCCGCCTCTGACGTGCCTATGACTCAGAGTGGGACCGAGTAAGAAGAGGCACTAAGGCCCAATATACAGTTTGACAAGTAAAGAACTTGGTTACTGGCTAAGTGAGGCCATAACAAGGGGGAACAGTTAGGGATTGGTTTGCAGTCAGTCCTCCCTGGGTTTTTCCTCCCTCCCTAGTGCCTCACACAATCTAGGTACATAGTGCCTCACAATCTAGGTGCATAGATTGTACCTATGAGGCACTAGGTACTGTGGTATTGGTCTTGCATATTTGCCATTAATAATATTTTTGGTCCCTATTTGGAAAACCATTAATGGTTAATGGACTGTTATTGAAATAGGCATTCACAAAATGACATAATTAAATTTTTTGTACAATTTGTAGCAGGGTTTTACAGAAGTTATCTGTCCAATACAAGTATAAACTATTTTGCCAATCTTTGTTCATTTATCAGGTGCATTATCCATAGTTTTACTATGATGAATATGTGAATCAATAAATAGCAGAATTAGGGATTATAATCAGTGATTGTATTCTTATGATGATCCAAGTTTTAGCTGTCATTGGTATAATTTGACTAGGATATTTTGTTTTATAATTATACTATGAAATTTTTGCATAACTGTACCACTATTTTTTTTTCTTTAGAACTTGGGTCTGCATTCGAGAGAGTCACAGGTCAACGAGGAGAGGAGGAAGAAAGAGTGCGACACCTGTCAACAGGAGCTAGGTCAGTATGCAGCCCATTCTCTTGATTTGCCACGGAAAAAAAAGGCAACTTTTTGCCTAACCAGGAAGGTTTGAACCCAAGCAACCTACATAACTTATTAAAACTGATTCATAGAAAACCTCAGCATCACAATACCTTACTGTAATTGTTACTAATGTGGTGCATTTTTTTAACGGATTGGTTGATTGTGAAAAAATGCAACATAGAGGAAATAGCAGTTGGAGTGTGACATACTGGTGCCTTGTTTATGATCATTTATCAAATGGTTAGCAAGTCAGGCTATATTGATTAATTATGGATGATGTGAAAAATATGGAATATTCTTTGGTAATCTTTTGAATTCTAAAAACCAATGTGTTTGGATAAAAGAAGTCATTTGATATGGCATGGATGAAAATCAATTTCAATAGAATGTTCATGTAATGAATAATTTTTAAGATTGTATTTACATGACACATTAATGCATTTTCCCTTAACACCTGGTGGCAGCTTTATGTACACTTCTGACTGATGTTTGGTAATAAAAGCTTTGTCCAAAATTTCTGTGGCACTTGCTGAAGATAGGATAGCAAAGACTGTCTCCATTAAAGAAAAATAAGGCATATATGCAATTTTCTTACTTATCTGAATTATAAGGATATAGAAATTAATCGTTCCTCATTTCTTTTAACACTTATACTTGTATAACTATTATTTACTGAACAGAAAATATCCTAAATATCTTGCATGTTTTGGCTTCCAATTTTCTCTTAATTAAATGAATGTTTTATATATGTATTATAGACCAAAGGACAAAAGGGAAATTCAAGCATCTATTAGAACAACAACAGAGAAGAATACAATATTAACAAGATTAAATTCAGAACTCAATCAAGAATTGGCAGAGGTAAGTCGTGGTGCTACAATTAAGGTAGGTTCTAAGATTGAGATTAGATCAGATTTTGGACATACAGCTTAAGACGTTATCAGTATTATATTCCAAGGTCGTGAATTCCCTTAATTTTTGTCTTGCTCTTGTAAATAGCCTTGAACTGATTTCAAATGCTTTAACTGGGATTCCATCATGACTTCCAGATCAAATGGACTATTACTGCTTGCAACCAGTTTAATAATAAAAGATTACAATTTCTTAATTAGGTAGTTTTAAACAAATTTAGTACGAGTAATATTTTTTGGATATAATTTCTCATTCTTGGGGACATAAACATATTATGTTTGTTGAGATCCCACTAGCCAATGACTGGCTTTTCCTAGAATACAACTCACAAAATTGGAATAACTCCCAGATATCTGTTTACTGCTCAGTAAAAAGAGGCATCAGGTGTAAGAAAACATGCCCAAATTTCTAGTCCTGCCTGTAAAGCGAACAATAGACCAATTGGTTATAAGCCTAATACGCTTAAACACTGTGCTTCAGATTGCCTAATAATATATAATAGATTAATAAAAACCAGAGATGCAAGACTTCTAAAGTCATCTATTTTGCTGGCACCATGTTGTGTGTGTCGCAGAATTGAAGCATTGAATGGATTAAACAGGCCCTTTCCTGGTACAGTAGTGTCCTCGGTAGCTCCATATTCCCATCTTGCTCCTTGCTTCTCGAGAGAGTGAAGAGGTTTAGCTTGGGTGGCTCTTGAGCGAGTGGGCAGGTTGGCTGAAGGCCAGGTGAATTGGGCTGCTCCCGATTGGCAATCAGGCACATCATGGTTTGGGCATCTACCCTGTGGCAACAACCATTTGCCATGTTTCCTTTGGGTACTCAATTTTCTTTCAAACAGTCTCTTGTTTTGTTGCTATTGTGCTTACTAGTGTCTCTGTTTTCAACCCATCCTCCTGTTTAGATAGCCCCTATTGTGACGGTCATCAATAGTCACAAACTTGTACGAACTTGGCTTTCAGATAGTAGTAAACTGACTAGTAAGGAATTCTTTTAAAATAAATGAAGCTAAAACACAAACTTAAATATTCCTAGACCTAGTATGGTACACACATGTACTATATTAGCCCTCATATTGTGTATTAGGCCTAGGGAGGTTAGGTTAGGTTAGTTTGTTAAAGCAACACGACTAAAAAATAGTTTTCCGGTGTGTCCAACTCGATAGTTGAGATTTCTACTTTCTAATTTCGCTGTGCGTCGGTATATATATACTATGGTCCTCATCATTACTATAAGTACTACCAAGACAGGAGAATGGGCTGCAGTTTTGGTTTACTTGCTGATCTTCAAGCTTCCCCTTGCCACAGAGAGAGAGTCAGATTCTTGTCATAGCAGGCACAGACGGGTCTCAGAGGCCTGGTGCCTCTCTCTACAGCTTGGTTGGACTAGTGCTTAACTCGGGGAGATACTAAAAGCCCACCAAAAAAAAAAAAAATATATATATATATATTTAATGCTTGATTTTTAATTATTTTTGTTTGCCAAAATATAACGATTACACATTTTAATGTGTTTTAAAGTTTTACATGTTCTCTTAATGTTTGGCTAAGAAGACAGTCCTGTAGTAGGACCATCTCTGCTGCTTAGTATATTAAATCCTAATCGTATATGAAAGCTGTGGCTTTAATTTATGATAAGGAGAATGAGAAAATATATGGCCAGATGGATGACGTGGGCAACCAACAACCAAGTTATGGAAAGCACTTCCTTGGTAACGGAACACCACAAACCCATAGAATATGTAATAATTCCTGAAAGTATTTTGGCTGATATGATTTCCTAGGTGGAAATTATATCGGCCAGAATGGACAGGAAATTTCATTTTCTGTATTAATGTTATGCATGTATTATTCTCTCTGATTTTTGGCAAGTCTGCATTACCCTCTTCTCTGGCAATCATTCCCACTTTTCTTGTAATTGCTTTATATTGATGCATTAGTAAATGTAATTTGAGTGAATCTGATGAATGCATATTTTCAGGTGATGGAAGAGAGAATTGCCCTTGAAATGCAACTAGAACAGATGAAGCCTTTTTCAAGTTAGTCTGTCTCAACCGAGCGTGCTGATGTTTCAGTAGAGGTCGTCCATATTTAGTCAACTCTCCATAATTTTGGCAAACATTTTGTGTATAATTTGCCATTATCTGGTAACTTTACTTGTAGGCCTTCAATTAGTTTATAATTATATTCTAATATTAACAAATTTGATTAAATATCTTTGGTTTACTTTTCCTTTTAAGTTCTGTCTTGCCACTTTACCAGTTCTTCCATTCCAATGTGTTTAAAGGCAAAAACCTTGTTTTGTTTTGTATTTTGGTTCAGGCTTTTAAGTTTAATGGCAATTGTGGACAAGTGATAATTTATGCTCTACACCCTAAGGTTTAGCATCAGTAATGCTTTGGTTGTACATTATTTAAAAGATTGCTTCAACTCAAAGTTATTTATACAATATGCAATTAATGTACATAATGTAGCTTTTAGAAGAAACTAAATATTTCATAATGAAGTTGCTCTCTTCAGTATTGTTCTGTTGTGTTTACAGTGATCATCATTTGAGCATTTTAAGTACCATGCCAATGATTGAACAAATCCACAGAAGCCTTGATGAGGGTTCGAACCTATGCGCTGGGTGTTCCCAGGGGCCGCATAGTTTGTTCTTTGATATTGTCACGTTAATGCGATTTCTCTTGTGTATGCCAATGATTCGAGGGCTGTGTTCAGGATCTTTACGAGCATGGTGTGGGAGGACAGAGGTGGCCTTCGGTACAAGGTAGGTGGTAACCTCTGGCTTCACTTCCAAAAATGTTATACGTCCTCATTCTTGAGTATAATATGTGATATTGAATTCCATTGTTAACGCTCCAGAATTAAATGTATGAAGTGAGGACAGTGAGCCATTTCAAATGAAGTTGGTAAATTATGTATTTTTTGTAATTATAAGATTTCTATAATATCATTTGTTGTGCTGTTAAGTGCTGTTCCATGTTAATAATTATAATTTGTGAACGAAAAAAAAAAGTATTTTAAGAAAAATTGAAGATTGATATATGGATGTATTATTTAATAGTCTAGCATACACATCCATATAAAACTGATACCTTTGTAGTGTAGAATATATACATGCATAAGAGATTGCTAATGTCCTAGTCCATTCCCAAGTCGGTGTTGTTACTATCTCGCACATGCCCCATTGTTACACTTGTTCAAGTCGTGGTTTTGTATACAGACTTCATCTAGTGGTGAACTGGAAAACTTATTTATACAAAATAACTTATGAGATGGTGATTCTGCATTGTTAGTATGTTAGTCAATTTCTCGTATGTTTGCGTTATCGCCAGAATTAATGAATGAACGGCTGTGATAATTCTTTGTCAACAAAAATTGATAATGTATTTTATTGTTCACTCATTGGTCAGCTATTGAAATGCTTGTCATAATTGAATTGTTGATAGTATTCATTAGGTGGAAATTTTGTTTATGAAACTTAACTAATAACTGTAGGAAAAACAAGTTCTTTTTACACTTTGCAGTTTATTTCTGTACTCGCAAGTAATGTATTTGATCTCGCCTAGTGGTTGCCTTATCTGTTTACAACGTGTTCTCATTTATTAAACGGCAAAGATAAAAGACAAACTATAAGCATTAGTCATATGAGAATTGTTATACATTTTGTTGAAGACAGAATGGTGTATTAAACATGATAATTTAACTATGGTCTTCTTAAAATCAGCGCATGTGTGTGTGCGTGTGTGTGTGATTTTTGGGGGTCTTATACTTTGTTGAATTAAGGGAATAGTTTCGTATTAGACTGCCTGTTAAAATTCAAAATCTTTCTTGTTCTAAGTTTGATATTATCATAGAATATGAGATAGGAGTTCTTGAAGCCAACTTGAGCGTATTACTTTAGAAAGTAATGATCTCAATGGAATTGTTCTTATTTAACAAACATTAAGTTGATTTATCAAATGCTTAATGATATTTAGAATGTATTGATATTATAATAGCACTTTTTTGGTGTCACTGCCATTCTAGAAAGATTACAGAAAGGTTGAAATAATGTTCACCAAGCCCATCTTTTCTGGGAGGGCTTCCCCCCCCCCCCCTTCCTGAAGCTCGGGAAGCCACTGAGGGTATCCACCAAAAAGAGGCGTCTGTGCTAAAGAGCAATTTTTATACAGTGCTGCTGTGATGGATAATAACGTAAACATGGGCGAGTTAGTCTAATGGCGTTTTCTTTCATTTTATATCCAAAACACTATTCGGAATCAAAATATTTTGGTTGTGCATTTAATTTTTTTTTTTAATTCTTTGTCCCATACAGTACATTTGAAAGGTAATTATATTAGATACCTAACCCAAAGAAAGGAAGTGATGATGTGTTGGTCCATCCTGGACCAGTATCACTACTTGAGTGTGGTTCACGATTGACAGAAACATCACTTCCGATTCTTTTCAGATGTGCGTATTGTATGTGTAATTTTCAGCCACATTGTGACTTACCATCTGCATTAATTGTACCATCTGCATTAATTGTATATTTCCCTCTCCCATCAGAGAGTAGCTACTTGTATCTTGCTGGAAATAAGATTTTATATCAGATATACAAAATTGATCAATCTTGTGACATTGGTTTTTCATAGATATTCTTGTTCAATGGAAAATAGTGTATCAAGTGATTATCATTGCACAAATATAGTTTGAAACTTGAAAAAGAAAAGAAAAAAAAAGAAAAGGATGATTCATACCTGAAATTATACTGCTAATTATCTTGCCAGTTATTCTAATTTAAGAATAAAACAAGAATAGTATACATCTCCTCTGGTCCTGACACAGTGGGCAGAGCATTTCCTTTTCGTTGGAGATTTTCGCCATTAAAAACGACCGTACTGAGGCTGAAAATGGAAAGGCAACTGGAGCAGTTAAGCAATTGTTAAGAATTAAGCAAACCACCGAGCATAACCTTGCTTGGATGGACTAATTGAGACCGTTTCACCAAGGACTCCAGTCCACCGAGCATTTTGCCATTTTTAACTACGTACTGTACAGTATTACTTATTTTGTTATTGAAAAAAAAATAGAGCTTAAATGACAGAAACATTTGTACACATATAGACAACAGAGTTGTATATAAACATGGCATGTTAAATTTATTTTAAGGCTAAATAGGGGAAGAAAAAAGAATTGTTGGAAAAATAAATTATTTACTTGATGAAGATGGCTGATTAATACATATTAATCTCTCTTAGGTGGAATGTAGGTATGCAGCACAGTAGTACAGTGGCCCCTCCGTTTACGAATTTAATCTGTTCCCAGAGATGGTTCGCAACCTGAAACAAATTTTCCCATAAATAATAATGTAAATTGAATTAATATTTTTGGGAGTGTGGAATGGATTAACTTCAAAATACTTTTCATACCTAATACATACAAATATTTAGTACTATAGTATTTACAAGTTATAGCTTACCTTTATTGATGACTCCTGTTGGTGTATGGAAGACAGTGAGGAGGGGGGAGAAGGAGAAGTGTTATAATGGAAGGGGACTTCCCTTCCAAACACTAACATAAGGTACTGATGGCTTCTCTGGGGTACTCTTTCTCCTTAGTTTTGCAGGCATACCACTAGGAACTGGTTGTGGCTCATTGCTTGTTTGTCTTACTAAGAATCGGTCTAAAAACTTGTTTTTTCCCTACATTTTAACACTTGACAATGGATGTCTCACTACAGACATTAACACTTTCATGCCCCCTTCACTGCAGGTCAATGCAGTGGCCTGCTAAAGCTTTATCTGGGTCAGTCTTTTCAGCAAAATTTGCAGTTCCTCCTATACTACACACATTCTCTTAATGAGGAAGAGACATCCTCTACTGCTTCCTCCTCCCCTGAAGATTTGCTGTACTGCCTAGCTAGTTCAACAACTCGTGTACCATTTTCATGTTTACGAATGATCTCTTGTTTTTCCTCTATGGTAGTCCTCAATGTGTTTTGTTAGGGTGATCCTTACCACTGACTTTCTTGGGACCCATGGTGGGACACATATATAATAATTACTTTTATGTTCAACCCCCCCCCCCCCAAAATGATATTCTTTACGAAGAATTCATGTGCGATCGTCACTAAGCAGGAGGCACTGGTAAACTGAAGCGCAGGTGACCGTGCCTCCAGGAACCACGCGCTAGGTTGCCAATATGCGTATCAATAATCCACGTTACTTGAGGCAAAGCTTGTAAGCTGATTAACATTTTACAAAGAAATTGGGCCTGTAACCCGAAAAGTTTGTAAATAGGGGTATTTGTAACCTGAAGTGTCACTGTATTGTGTGCAATTCTAAAAAATGGCAAGACTTCCATAATATACTATTGCATTGACCTTTTATCTGCAACACCTCATCTAGTTCTTTGTTTTGAGCTCTTGAGCCTTTTTTACTTTGAACCATTATCACCAGTTCTTTTACTGCTCACTTTTCTTAATGTATTTAACCTTTTTCTTCCATATTAAGATTGTCATCTTGTTCTACCTGGTTTAACTTTACTACTGCTGGTAAACAAATTTTTTTTAACTGAAAAGATAAAAGTGGATAAAAATCACTATCAAGAGGTCTTTACTCATTCACAAAAAAAAAAAAATCACACCCAAAACACATTTGGTGTTCGTAGCCTTATTAAATCAACAGTAAAATGTGCCAACACATACTTCCCTGTATATTTACTAAAATTTTATAACTACACAATTTAAATATAACTTTTTTATTAGTGTGTACTTATGGCAGAAAAAAAGGGAACAAAATTCTTTAAACAAAATCTGGGTATTTTGTTGTCAAGATTGGCTAGTATACCATAACAGCTTTGGGAAGTGAATGCCATATTCTGGACCACAAAGAGTTTGTTTGCTGATATTTTCTTGCCCACCCAAAGATTCGATCCATTATGATTTATTGAGGCAAAGTCTCACTGTATATATTATACAGCATAGGCTTTGAGAGTGAAAATGCTCTCAGAACCAACTACAGATAAGAGTGCACTCTCATAGATGTTCTAACAGAGTTGAGCATCAGCTGGCCATATCTTTCGAACATTTTGTATTTTAAAGCGGTGACAGTTTTCTGTTTTTCTATGTTGACCAAACCACACACTAGAAAGTGAAGGGACGACGACGTTTCGGTCCGTCCTGGACCGAATGGTTTGACTTGAGACACAATCGACTTGAGAATGATC